ATACGGAAAATCCGCTGGCATGTTTCAATTTTTTGTAAATTATATGCAATAACCATATTCTCTACCAATGATCAATGTCTCAATGTTCAACTGAACAGGTTGAGATAAAAAACTGCAACAAAGTCAAACGCCATAATTTTTACATTTTCTTTAAATTTTATTGAATGAAAGCAAAAAATGTCGGAAATAGAATTAAATTTTAGAATAAGTTTAGATTGGTCACCTTTGGCAACGAATTATGGCCAATGAAACCGTCACACGCTGTTACTCGGCGGTATTTTGGCCCATTCCCGGCGAAGCGGTATTTTTTAGTGCCAACCTTGCTTTTCAAAATACTCCAGACAAAATAGTCCTACGGATTGGTATCCGGAGATTTTTGTGGCAATTGTGCGCTGGAAATGAAGCGAGGAACCTTATTTTGTAACCATCCTTGGGTGGCGCGTGATGAGTGCGATGGTGCTGAGTCCTGTTGGAATGTCCAAGGTCTTGGGCCAAAATGTTTGCGTGCCCAAGGCACCCAGAATTTTTTCGCGATAATATTCGGCATTTATTCTGATGAGATGAGGGCTGTTATGGTGTTTACAAACTGCTGGACAACGAATGTTTTCTTATCGGAGAAAACCAAATTCGGCAGTTCACCACTTTCGGATGATAACAGATTTATTCAGGTTGGTACTTTTTCATTGATGGGAGAAAATTATATACCTGTAGTCAGGCAAACGGGAAACATGGTATTAACTCATCTCATTTTTTGGCCTACTTTTTGAATTTGAAATTTTATGGCCTACTTTTTAAATTAAAAATTAGAGTGTTGCGTTGAATAATATGAAAATTGTATTGTTTTAACGGTGTTTAAACCTTGAACTTCCATTTATTATTCGCGTTTTTGTTTATTTATAAACAATTGTAAATAAACAAAACAAACTTGTTGCACATTTATTTATGGTAATTATGACGCATATTCAGAGACCAATAGGCAGACATTATATGATGGGAAGAAAAAGAAATATTTGGCAATTGCGAGAGAATTCTTAAATTATTTTATCTGTTCAGGCAAAGCCTGATATAGTCCATTTAAATATGATTAAGGTGTCACTAACTTATTATTGACTTTTTACTGCACTATTTTTCTTCTCTTTCTTTTTCGAAAACTTCAACTCTTATCATTCAAGCCATGATTTTGATATATGTATGGATAAAATGGACAATAACAATGGACAAAAAAAATCTCAAAGTTAAGTGGCGATCGATCACATGTTCGCGAGCTTAAATCCAAATGAAATGTAAAGTCGGTTAGGGGGAGGTAAGATGAAGGGAAAATTTTACGGTATGATGACTATTGAATTATATACATGTATATGGGTTAACCCACTGGATTTGGATTAACATTGTCATATCCATTACTTATACTTCAAATAAATCCTATCAAAGTGGGTTAACCCTACATAAAGTTCTAACGTAAACATGGCATATGACAGAGATTCACAATCGGCTACACGATTTAAGGTTGTCACATATGAACAGTTTAAAAATTCGGCTACATGTTAAAATTATCTTCAATTAAGAATTTCGCCAAAAATTCCCAAAATTGATCTTGGCTTTTAAATGTTCACCTAGGGTGGATTCGTAACCATTTCTAAGTGGCACTCAATGGAGAAATTTGTAAACAATGCACTTCTAGTTGCATCCGCCTGTGTCCAAATGACCAGTATGGATCACCTGAATGAGGAGATAAGTATGCTGTCATTCGGATAACATAAATCGCTGGCGAGCCTTCTGACCTGTTATACCAGCTATCACAGAGTGATGGACACGTTCGTCATTCGGATAACATAAAGTATTGTTAACTAGGCTGTTCCTGCTGGCGATCTTTCTGCCCTGTTATCCCAGTTATCACAAGGTGATGGAAGATCCACGACACAACCGCCAGATGCTATCGCAAAGGCACCCAAAATATTATTCATATCGGACGTCAAAAGGTCGTCGATAGCGAATAATATGTAAATAATGAATCATCAATGGGCATTCTCAGAAGCCCATTTATTATACATGCAATGAAATCCTAGATCAATATCCTCCTGCAATATCGGAGCTGCAACTTTCTTCCTGCTTTAGTCCAACTTCAGTGGGGTATAGTAATATCCTCAATTCTTACAGAGAATGATTTCGATTTCTTTTGAACCCATGCAAAAGTACTCGGGAAACCATACTGCTCCTTAAATCACTCCCAAATAATTTTGCTGGGTTGTTACGGGTTAGTAATATCTAGACTTCTATGATGATTAAAGGCTATCGTCTGTGGACAGACTCTAAACTGAACGAATAATGAAAAATTCCGTTAAAATTATAAGTCTGCACAAAGTTGGACTGTCGTTGACACAGATTTTAAATTTTTACCTAAAACAGCTTAGGCCACCAAATTATACATTAATTTGGAAATGAAGTGCCGCAACTTTAGAGTTCCATATAGGCATAAGTAAACATAAACATCCACGGTCACAAATTCGTACATTTTCATTCCGAGTTTCTATAATCAACATATCCTTCCCAGAGCATATACTATCCCTTGCTATATGCAGATATATTATGCCCTCTGTATATTAGAAATTGTTCTTATTAGTAATGCTACTTCCATCTGAACTGAAGAAGAAACATCCAATACGTTTAGCTGTACTTGTCAACAAAGATTCTCAACTTACCTCTGTGGAATGCGTTATTTTGCTTATGGTTTTTTTGGTGGCCTTTTAATGCTTGTTTTTGCTTGAACTTATCAATAAATTTTGTTTTGCTGCGGTTGCTGTTTTTCTAAAAACTCAGGGTTTACGTCATAGATACCAAAATAAAATAACATCAAGAACCAAACATTGAACATTCCACTTACTCAAACCGGTCGGGTTGATCGGTAGAAGTCCCCGATTGTTTGTTAGTATGCGGCGATGCGACGAAAAAGGCAGTTATAATCTTATGGGGAATATTATTTGCAAAGGCCAGCAGCAGAGGGGGATGATGGCAGTAAGATAAAGCCTTTTAGCCTAGGTTCGTTCGTTTAACAAATTGAAATTTAACAGTCAAATTTTGTTGTTCCTTCTTTTGAGTTATTTGACTTTGAATTTTTTTGTTTGCATAACCAAAATACTGTGTGTGTTTTTTTTTCTCATTTCCTTCAATGATCCCTCTCTTCTGCTCCTTCGTTTTATATTTTGTTTCTCACACTCTCTGATGGAATGATAACGATTCTCGTGGATGTTTTATGGTTTTATGACACAAGTCATAAGCTTGTCTTGAATTCTTCTGCACCACACAAGAGAAAAATGAACACAACAAAACCAATGACAACATCAAATCCAAATCTGTGTTGTTATTACCGATGTTGCCTCCTTACTCTGTAGTAGTGGTAGATTTGATGCTTATGATGGTATTTGCCACAGCTTACACAAGGTATTTAAGCAACACAAAATTAAGAAAAAGAAAAATTATTGGAAAGAAAAAGTCAGTCAAAATGATGACTGTTGGTCGCGCTCTCCACACACTCAGCGAACACACTCAATCAGCCAGCCAGCCAGCCAGCCATTAAAAAAAAGACACCAACACTCGTTGTATTTGGCACAAGCAGCCTGTTTTTTTTGTTTTATGTGTGAACAAAAACAAACAAAATTAAACAAACTTGATTCTACAACCAAGCTTCCATATAATTTAACAAAAAAAAATGCGCTGTTTCAAGCGTTTCCAATATTTTTTTGGTTTCTTATCGAATAATTTATCAGCCAATGACACTTTTTTATTTAATTTCTTTGCAATTTTTTCGTTTTTTTTCTCCAACAACACCACACACACTTTCTTGCTTACTTTGTATATTTGCTGCTATATTTTATTGAACATATAACCCACTTGTTGATTTTGGGTTTTCTTGTTTTATTCTTATTCTATTGATTTTAATAAACAAAGTATTATATTTTTTTTTCAAACAATCACTATTTTCAATACCTCGTTTACATTCGTTTTTTATAACTTTTTTCTGGCTACGTCTCGTCGTTGCGTTTTACTTTACTAAAAAAATGTGAGATTTTCAGATCTTTTGCGACAAAACTTTCCGTCGTGCTGCTTTGCGTGTATTTCTAGTATTTCTGTTATTTCGTTCAAATGTCAACATAGAGTTCATTCACAATTATCGCTGAGTGATCTAATTCCCCTCGATCATTCACAATGTTAACTGTGAATTATGGATTTTCACCACAATGACCACCATCAATTAATGGATAACGTGACGTAGCCCATGTAAATGGTTATTTGTACATTTCGGAGATATTTTATAATCTGCGCCTTTATACCATCGTTTACATACGAAAGTTATAAGCAGCCAGATATCTAATCTAATTTAAAAAATTTGTCATAGAAATAGAAATAGAAATAGAAATTTTGACAGCTGTTTTACTGAGAGTTTCCAAATTCTTTCTAGACAAATTTCTTCTTGCAATCACTTGCAACTCTTCTTCTACCGGTTATTTATATTTGGGCAGAACAATTTAAAACATGTTTATTTTTGAAATCACAAGTCTAATTGTATTGTTTTTCGACTAATTTTTAATTTTTGCTAGATTTATTTATTTTTATAGCAGACGAATTGTTTTTTGCAAGTTTATGCAGGAACATTCCGTCAGCTTACTTTTCAGAGTTTTCTTGCAAAAAAGAATAAAATTACCTTACTCTCTCAGAAAGATGTTGCCGAACAATTTCTGCAGGAAAAGTATTTACACCAAAACTGTCAATTCTGTTATGACTTACCTTCGTTAATCACGAAATTTAGAGGCGTGGATGGAGAGTGCATTTCTGTGTCAGGATTGAAGGATTTACCATTATTAATCTTAATCTATTATGATTTGACGAGTCTCACATCTAAATAATTAGAATAAATAACTTTTTGTAAAAAGGGAGTAAAAACTCATACCCTGAGAAATATAAGCATGGAACAATTTCCCGACTTGGGATGTGTATCAAATAAATTTCAAACATTTTTCCATTTCTCTCAATCATTATTTTTTATTTCTTACAGCATTAATTCTCATCAGTTTTTGTTAAAATCTCACAGCCATCATCGGTAACCAAAATTGTGTGTTCGAATTGTGCACTCCTTGCACCATCCACACTCATAGCCGTCCAACCATCTTCTTGGATTTCAATATCAGGTCCACCCAACGTCAATATGGGTTCAATTGTAAATGTCATGCCAGACTGCATGGTGCCGGGCACATTATTTTTGAAATGAAGTATTTCTGGTGGACCATGAAAATAACTGCCAATGCCATGACCAATAAATGCTGGAATTGTATTGAGTCCCGTTTGTTTGCAGAATTTTGCTATAAAATTTCCTATGGCTTTGAATTCGACCTGTGGCCGACACAATTGAATACATTCATGTAAACATTCTTCGGTTTTTTCCACCAAATAGCGGCCTCTCTCATCGACATCGCCAACCATAAAGGTTTTCGAACAATCTCCATGATAACCGTTGAGGAAAACCGTAATATCCACATTTATAATATCGCCATCATGCAGAGGACGATCGTCTGGTATGCCATGACAGGCAACATTATTTACCGAAGTGCAGGTTGATTTTGGAAAGCTGGCATAGCGCAGTGGTGAGGGATATGCATTCGCTGCGATGATACTATTATGAACAAATTCGTCAATTTCATCGGTAGTGACACCAACTTTAATAATATCGGTACAAGACTTCAGTACCTGGGCTGCTAACTTGCAACTGTTGCGCATGCATTCAATTTGCTGTTGATTCTTGATTTCCGGCTCGCCCAATGTAAAGCCGGGCGGCATAGGTTTATAGTAATAATCTGGCTTCACTATGTGCTCCGGCACCTCCCTCTCTTCGGAGACATTACCAATTTCCACTGTGTTGCAGGTGCCAAAATTTGGTTTGTTCTTACTGAAACGTTGCATAAAATGCCTTACGGAATACTGGAGCACTTTGTTTCTCATTTCTTTTTTTATTAAAAGAATCTAAAATCCCCAGGAAATCTATCTTCTTACGTGAACGTTGACTGACCATTCACAATGGTTTGGTGTATTGGTGTAAAAGGAATTGTCGATAAAGATCAAGAAACAAAACAAAATCACCAAACACACCAAAGGGTAATAGGGGTTTTAAGATCGACAAAACGCAGGGGTATGGAAATCGCAAATAGCCAAATTTTTGAAGTAACAACGGTATGATAACCATTCACAATAACTAATTAATTAGAAATAGCAGTTAAAGTGCGCTTACAGTGTTGTAGGTTAATGTCATGGTAGAAGAATACAGGAACACATCGACACAGCTGCTGAGACAATGAAAGGTCAAACCGGAAAGGTCAAACCGAAATTTGGAATTGAAAATCTTGAATGAAAAATCATTGAAATTTGTAAAAATTTTTGAAAAAAATACAAATCCTCCGATTTGCGTCGTATAAGAAAAGATATAAAAACCTACTTATTTTTTACAAAACATTTTAAAATCTTTGACATATCAATTCTACCATGGTGTGTTCTATAGATCTGGTGTGTTTACATAGACCCATGGTAGAAGAATACAGGTAGATGCATCCATGAACAGATTGATTACTTTTGACAAAAAAATCCGTAGTTTTTGTTCTATTGTGATTTCGTTTTCATTGAATTTCAAATCACAATAATGTTTTTGACCGCACACTTGGTAATCAGATAGGTTTACTGGCCGAACGTATATGGGTTTTGGTTTGAAATTCAAATGGAGTGAAACCACAATAGAGCACAAACTATTATGTTTGTTGTCAAATGTAGCCTTCTTGCCTGATCTTATTTAGGCCTTGAATCGGTGGTTCTTTCAGCTCGTCTTTAAAGATTAAGTTCGTCTATAAATACTTTCTTTCCACATAGAATATAAAGATTCCCTTTCAGATCGTCGATAAAGACTCAACTTGTCTATGAACACTCCTTTTCAGTCCGTCTACAAAGATCCCTCATCTTTTTAGAAGTATCCCCTGATATTCGACGATTTCTGCATTCCAATCGTCATTGTTCATCTGCAAACTCTATACGTAAGTCTGTCATATAAACTCCCAATTAGCACTGGGGCCTACGTTGAACAAGAAAATTAACATATTTTTTTTAAATTAATTGTAAAATTATAATTGCAAAATATTTAGTGAAATAAGTTCAATGTATTTATTTACATAAGTATGTACGCATGGGATTTGTAAATGAATATTCGATATGAATATTTATAAAAAAAAATAAAACTGAAATGTTATTCATTAAATACTGTAAATGGGATAGTAATGATAAGTATATTCTTTGAAGGCCCGCTTCTCTTTAGATATTTTTCTTTCATTTGACAGTGGGCATTGGTGTTGTTTTCATTAAAAAGGAAGCCGTTTGAGATCATCATTTGCTACCTTAAATAAATTTTTTTCTATTATTTTATGTAATGCTTAAAGCTTATTTGCTACTACAATCCTAATAAAGTTAAGACCATATTTTATGCGACCTTGGCTCTCTTGTAATTTTTTCGATGAGTTGGCATCGATAAACATACGATAGTCAGTGCCGAGATTCCTTCTCGATGGTTTACAACTGAGGATTTTCCAATTTGAGGTTTCAATGCCTTTGTTTTGTTTTTCAATTAACGTGAGAATGGCAGACGTTGGTGGCACCGGTGGTGGAATCCACATTCTGGCAAAAATGCGCGGTGGCAAGTTGGAATAAGGTATAATTTCTAAATGGTTATAGGGCCAATTTTGACAGACATTTGCAATGTTTGTTTTTAAGAATTGCAGCGATTGACTGTTGCCGCATTTAATAATTTTTATTCCTCTAGACCAGTTTGCACCCTCAAATGATATACCCCGTTCAGTCCATTTATTGGAGGTCATTTCTCTTATTAACATTTCCTCGAGATTATACCATTTTTCATCGCTGATTCTTCCCTGAGGATTAGATCTATCAACTATTGCAACCTGTAACTCTGAACTGGGACAAATACTGCTGAGTCTTCTGTGTTTAATTTTTGCGGCAAACGATGCACCTGTGGGAAATGCATAATCTGGTATTATCTCTGCTCGAGCACTGGGATGCACTTTTTCAAACAATTCCACTCTTTTTCTATGTTTGTTTATTAGTTTCTTTTCCCTTTTCGATAATTGACTAATATCTTTGCCATCATATTTACTTAGAATTGCTATGGATTTCCTATAGTTATCCTGCTGAACGCGTACTACATTTGTTACAACAGACGATGCGCTATCAGAAATTGTTATAGCATCATCATTGTTAATATTTTGTTGAATGGCATCGTCGTATATTGTTGATAAACTTGATGCTTTGGACATCGACGACTGTGGCATTGCATGTACAAAGAAGACATGATACTCCTGAAAATAATCACAAAATGTGTCTTCTGAAGCTGTGTTACTCATTAGTATGATTTTCAAGTCCGGCCGAAAGGGTAAAATCTACAAAGCAATGCAAAACAAAAATTCATAAAATCTTAAGACTACTTAACTATTTACATACATTTCTCAAATTATCCATTAATTGATTATACTCCGGACACTGATCTTGTATATCGTCCAATATAACGCATGTGAAAGTTTTCAATAACGGATCGTTTTTGAATCTTCCAATTAAGATTTGTGCAGTACAGTATAAAATGTAACCTGTTTCCCGTGGCATGTTGCTGAAATAAAAGTAAAATCAATTAAAAATATATGTAGATATGTGGTAATGTGTAGACATTTATCAACTATATTTGGATCATAACGTAGTTCTGAGTGCCCTGATCACGTTTTGATTATTTATAAAGACAAACTTTCAATAGCAAATAAGGTTTCGCACTGTATCATTTATAGAGACTCCTATCTGATTGATAAAGGTAGCTATTGGGGCCTGCTAAAACTCACTTTTGGTATTCTATAAAGGCTGGTATCTGGTCATATATAACGACTTCTCTTCAGTTCTTCTATAGAGTTCTTTGAGCTTGTCCATCTCTTGTATGGAGAGTGGAATGTGAGAAGCTTAAAAATGTGATGTATTCTTATGAAGGTAGAAAATGCAGACATTGGTGTAAGAATTTCATAAAATTGGAGCAATATTCTCTGTCATTTGAAACACCACTAACTCCTCCATATAATAAACGCAACACTTACATTTCACCAGCAACTTGTAAACCAATTGAATTTCCCAATGATTCCAGCCGTTCGTAGGCTACATGCTCTGCCGCTGATGAGGCATTTGGCCTTTCCGTTTGAACACAAGCAATTCGACATTCACTGCCACAATTATTGAAAATAAAATCATCCAATACCATTTGGGGTATTTGGGTGGTTTTGCCACACGATTGCCCGCCAACTAACAGCACGACTTGATGACGCCGTATGGCTTTTAAAATCTCCCGGCAATGCTGGATAACTGGCAAGCGACGACGTAATTCGAAAATTTCTTGAAATTCTTCGCATTTATTCTTTTCCAGGAGTTCCGATTTTAAGATCCAATTGTTTAAATAGCCTTCGTCCATCACCTCTAACGATGAGGAACAAACACTTGTAGCGCGTTCACTGCGATTGCCCTCAAAATATCTTTGATTTGAATACGAACAAGATGGCGGTGCCATAAAGTCCGGATATGGATTACGGTTCATAGTTTTCTAATTTCAAATATCAGTTCCAATAGAAATTAAATCGATCTGAAGTTTGACAAAAATGAAATGATAAATGAATGTTTCAATTGCCACTTCGCCATTTTACCTTTGTTTTTGACCGAACAATTTTAAAAGCGTTCCAAACGATAAAATTGAGGGAGTCAAGAGAAAAGAGGCAAATGAAAAATAGGCACAAAACAAAATAACGAAAGATGTTTGTTTGTTTACGAATGAATGTGATGCATAACGGCAGAGAAAAACGGTGTTTACGAATAAGAATGGAAGAAACGCAATCAGCTGTAGGGTCCTGACGTTTTTATAATTTATCGATAATTTATTAGTTTGCGCATTTACACTAGACAATTAGCCTTAAATCAGGGTTGTATTTGACCAAAAATAAAAAAAAAAAAAAACAAATAAAAAGCATATAATTATCAACTACACCTTGCAAAGAATCATAAGTTTGCAATTTTATCAAAATTATATATTTGACAACATGTCATTTCCAAAATGTTTATTTAGAAATCCATTTTATGTACCTGGCTTATGTCATCGGCTGGCTTCTTTGGAAATGAACAAAGGATCACACGGCCAAAATCGAACTAAGTCAATCTAAAACTAAATGAAGAAGCCAGCCGATGACTTATGACAGTCAAAAAGCTCTTTATGTACTTCCATCTTAAGCCAGTCAAATAAGCATTTTAGGTGAGAATACCCTAAATACCCTTGGCATCATGGCTAGACAAATTAATGTCAAATTATAAAGGGAAACGACGGCAGAATTTGAGTGCGGCTCTGGCATCCCTTTATGATATCTCACAAAGTATGCCGTGCGAAGACTTCAAGCTGTTTATGTACTCTCACCTTAAGCGTTTTATGTATTCTCATCTTAAATGTTAGCTTTTTGTTGCTTATATAAAATAAACTTGGCAACCCTATTGATTATTTCGTTTACATAGCCATTCGTAAACAATTTAAATTCCTTTCTTACCTGGCGGACGCACGTTTCAATATTTATCCCGGATAATAGGAAAATGAATCGAAATCGTTTTCGCGGTCGTCGAGGTGGTGGTGGTGACGGCGATTATGGTGCAGGCCATAGTGGCCATGGAGGAGGCCGTGGTCGTGGTGGAGGTAGACCACCTGGTCTAAGTGGTCGAGAAATCGGAATGTATTATCGCAATCTTGGCATGAAAAAGAGAGATGAGGAGCAACGAACAGGCGGTATACGACTTAATCCATCCATAGATATTCCACCTGGAGTTCTTAGTCAGGTTCATAAATTCTTGGAAGCATTTGAACAACAAAATCAGGATGAGCAGGTTTGTCATGAGTTCCAAGAACATTTCCATAACCTGCTGCATGTTAGCTTCGAAGAGTTTTTGGAAAAGGCCAAAGAGAATTTTGACTCGAAGCCAAACCCAAATGAAGAACATAGTGAACGTCTGAAATTGGAGTTGGAAAGAAAAAATGAAAATGAAGAATATCTGAAAAAGTTGAGAATGCGTCAAAAATTACCTACCATGCAGCAGTCTGAGAATATTTTGAAGTCGATAAGAGAAATTCAAGTTGTATTGGTAGTGGGCAGCACGGGCTGTGGCAAAACAACGCAAATACCTCAATTGATATTGGATGAAATGATTGCGGCCAATAAGGGCAATACATGTCGCATTGTATGCACCCAACCGAGAAGAATATCGGCAATATCAGTAGCCGAGCGAGTGGCTTATGAACGGCACGAGGCGCTAGGCAGTTCTGTGGGCTATCAAATTCGATTGGAAAGGTGTGTGTTTACTGGATGGAGGCTGAAAAGAAAAAGGATAAAATTTGTTTGTTTTAGTGTCCAATACCTTGGAACTTAACACAAGATCCATTTTTTTCACTTATCAGTCTCCTCTAAAGTCATCAAAACTTTCTGTATTAACTATAAAAAATGTCCTCCATTACTAATGTTCGCATAACCTTTTAATTGCTTCTTCTATAGTCGCATGCCTCGAGACAATGGTTCCATCTTATATTGCACCACCGGCATTTTGTTGCAGAAAATGCAAACAGACCCGCTGATGAGTGAGCTGACCACAATAATATTGGACGAAATACACGAACGCAGTGTGGAAACGGATCTGCTGATGGGTCTTTTGAAAATTGTGAGTTCGAGGAATACATAAACTACCCAGACTTTACCTTTATTATTTCTTCATTATAGATACTCCCCTATCGTCCTGATTTAAAAGTGATATTAATGAGTGCCACCGTATCGGAGGAAACATTTTGCGAATATTTCAATAATTGCCACACTTTGTATATACATGGTACCTTATTTCCAGTAGAAGTTCTATATTTAGAGGATATATTACAAGAGACTGGTTATACAAATTTTCAAAATGACTGTCTAGCATCGGGAAAACCCCAAAGGGGTCACAATCCGCGGCGCAAACATGAGAAACAAGCATCGGAAAAGAATTTCCAATATACCCACATGATCGATTCGTATGTATCTGCAATGAAGGATAAATACGATAGACAAGTTATTGATACCTTGCGGCGATATTCCGATTCTGAGGGCTGTGCAAATTTGAATTTCTTAGAATTTTTAATATTTTATATATGTGAACATAAACCTCCGGGAGCGATTTTAGTTTTTCTGCCGGGTTATGAACGGATCTCAAAGTTGAATGATCAACTACAGAGGCCCTCTAATCCGAGACATCAGCATTTGGCAGAGAAAATCCAAATATATCCTTTGCATTCGATGATGCCCACAGTGAATCAAAGAAACGTCTTTGAACCCGCGGCACCGGGTATGCGTAAGGTAATTTTATCCACCATCTTGGCCGAAACTTCAGTGACCATTGATGATGTGGTCTATGTTATAAATACAGGAAGAACCAAAGTCAATGATTATGATATAGAACAAAATATACAAACGTTACAAGAAGACTGGGTTAGTGTGGCAAATTCCAAGCAACGTAAAGGTCGTGCTGGTCGTGTGCAGCCCGGTGTTTGTTATAATTTATTTACAAGGTAATGATTCGACCATATTTTCTAAAGATATTTTTTTAAATAATATTTTTCTTTATTTACAGAGTTAGAGAGAGGTCAATGTGTGAGATACCTGTACCAGAGATATTACGTACCAAATTAGAGTCCATAATATTGAATTTGAAACTGCTGCATATCAAAGAACCTTATGATTTTCTAAAAACATTGATAAATGTCCCCGACATTAGAGCCATAAATCATGGTCTCAAACTTTTGAAATGGTAAATTTAATATTATTTCCTATTACTAGATTTTTAAATACCAATTCAATGTTTTATTTCCATAAATTATTCCAGCATAGATGCCCTAGATAATGAATGTAATCTAACGCCCTTGGGTTTACATTTAGCCCGTTTACCCATCGATCCACAAATGGGGAAAATGATTTTAATGGCTGCCCTATTTCGTTGTTTGGATCCCATAACATCGGCAGCCGCAGGTATTTCATTCAAAAGTCCCTTCTACACACCCTTGGGTTTGGAGAAAAAGGTTGATAACATAAAACGTGATTTGGCACAAAATACCAAAAGTGATCACCTGTTAATTCACAATGTCATAAAAAGTTATCGCACAGCTTGTGATCAGGGGAGTGATATGAATTTTTGCTACAACAACTTCTTAAGTAAATCGACGGTATCACAAATTGAAAATATGAAAAGCAATTTGCAGAAATTTTAAGGAATTCAAGGTGAAGGAAATTGAAGTTGCTACTATTTTGATATTGATAATTGAAATCTTCTCCAAATAGTTTCTTAGAATCTGCTGATTGTTGTGCCAGAATTTCCAACACTAATTCGGATAATGTTCCCCTGCTAAGGGCCATAATTGCCTCGGGGCTTTATCCTAATTTGGCATTTTTAAGGTAAAAGGAAAATCGTTGTTTTTAAGCACCAATATTAAATTACTATTTTTCTCATATAGAAAAGTAAAACGTGTTGGTCGCCATGTCCATGCCATACATAGTATGTCAACGCCTGTAGATCGTAAGGTGAACTTCCATCCATCTTCGGTAAATAGTGGAGAGGGTTCTTTCGATGCCAAGTAAGTGGAAATCCTTTTCTTCTAAAATCTGGACCAAACAATTCTTCATTTCTGTTTCCATTTCTTTAGCTATTTTGTTTATTTTCAAAAGCAAAAAACATCTAAAGTTTATCTTTTAGATGCCACCATGGTGTTTCCCATGGCCTTGCTGATATTTGGCGATGGTGTAAAACAAGGAGAGTTATCGCCTCATGAACCTTACATTAGTGTGGCGGATATATATTTGTAAGTCATTAACAGCAAAAGTAAATAAAATTTTCCTTTACTTAAATTCCTTAAATTTCTAGCTTCAAATGCGACAGAGAATCTTCTAATGTGATTTTAAAACTCCGACAACTTCTTGGTGTGCTGCTCAGAAAAAAGGCTATGCATCCCTCACCCATTGAACCCAATAGCAGTGATGAACAGTTAATAAGGTAAGTTCAAAGAAATGTTTTATAGAATGTCCCAAAATTAAAAGTAGGTTAAAAATGGGATTTTAATTTGTGGACAAACTTCAGAAGGCAATTTGCTCTGATAAATGATATTTTATAAAGGACCATTAGATTGTCATTCTACAGGCCTTCTTCCTATAGAAAACTGTTATGTGGTATTTCTAAATTATTGTAATTACAAATAAATTTTCTGGCTACAGGGTGAGATGAAAAAAAACTGCAACCAACTTGCACCAGTTCCTTTCTAAGCCACTCGTCCGACAGCTGTTAAAAAATTATTCCAGTGACAGCTCATTATATTGTTTACAAGCGTACAAAAGCATTTTTGTGAGATTTTTCCAGAAAAAAAAGTTATTCGTGATGGAATTCAAGCGAGATTTCTTTATATTTGGCTGGAAAACCACATGTGGCTATCGTTCGAGCACTCCAGCATTTAAATGTGAATAAATCGTTTGTGTCTCGTACCATCGCTCGTTACCGTGATACTGGTAGCGTAGGCCGTCAAGGAAGTGGACAGAAGAAAACAGCAACATCAGCAGAAATAGTTTGAAAAGTAAAGAAGCGATTTGATCGAAATCCGCGTCGCAGTGATCGTGGCATCAGAATAACATGACTCAGCACCATCGCACTCAGCACGCGCCACCCGAGAATGGTTGCAAATGGCCACCAAAATCTTCGGATACAAATCCGTTGGACTATTGTGTCTGGAGTATTTTTGAAAGCAAGGTTGGCACAAAAAGTTACCAAAGTGTCGATCACCTCAAGCAAGCGCTTCGCCGGGAATGGACCAAAATACCGCAGAGGAACATTCGGGCAGCGTGTGACAGTTTCATTTGCCATTTGAAAGCCATAAATGTGACCAATTCGAATAAATCTAAACTTATTCTAAAATTTGATGCCATTTCCGACATTTTTTGCTTTCATTTAGTAAAACTAAAAAAAACTAAAATTATGGCGTTAAACTTTGTTGCAGTTCTTTATCTCCCCCTTGTGTGTATGTTCTTGCAGAAAGCTTCGCAGTATTAGATATTAAAAATATTTTATCTTTAGAAAACCAATTTGATTTTAAAATATCTTTAAAAAGTCTAGAAGTAATAGTTATTCTCTTCATTGAATTCTTATTGAAGCTTTTCTACTTATAGAAGATTCCCATGGTAGAACTCAAGATACAGTAGGAGCTCGTAAATGGGTATTTATTTATAGACCCTAAGCAGTTGATTTTCGGCCTATATAAGTTCTCCTAAAGGGCTTCTATACATTACATTTAAAGTTTGCTTTATTTATAGAAGACCTGTAGAAGATTGTTCAACTGTAGCAATTGCATAGAATTGATTATTTTTATAGAATGCCTACTGAAGGTATACCCTAATACCTGTGTAAGAAATATCTTCAATTTATCTGTATTTTATATAATGTTTTATATTATATATGAAACAACACATCATTATTTTGCATATATAAAATGTAATTGTTTATTAATATATATTGTTAATCAATAACAATTATACATACACATGTTTTTGTTAAATAATTATCGTATAAAATGCTTCGTTGCGTTTTCATTTTAATTTTGTTTTTTTTTTGCAGAGCCATACACTTGCTACTTTCTTTGGATGATATGGGTGAACACGTTGATCAATATCCGACGGATGAGGAGGACGATGATGATTATACCGAAGATTACTAAAAGGAGCAGTGCTCCAATTTCAGTAGATATGTAATCCAGATTGGACTGCAAATAATGACTACAAAATACTGGATAAAATGACCATTTTTTATACAGATCCAATTATATTTCAATGTTTTTGCTTTCTTTAATCGTCTTCTAACAAAGCGAAGGCATTACGCGATGTCGAGGCCTGTCCAGCAAGATAGGCATTTTCAGCAGCTTCATCGTCTTCATCGGCATTTGTTTCATCGTTGGACGAACTATTTTCATCGGTTTCGTATGCACCTATAGTAAAAGAAATAAAATCAAATGAAATAAAGAATTAGCAAATCGAATAATCTTACTTACTCTCTGAGTTAACCGAAGATGTATCTTCATTATCTTGTATGTCTTCTTCCTTCTCATGTCCAGTTTCTGGTAGGTTTTGATACTTTTTAACTTCTTCCACATCGGAATGTTTGAGCCACATTTCTTTTTGTTCGTTGAAATTGGGTGGATAAAACTGCAATATCAATTGCAACTGTCCTGCCACACAAGATCTTAAAAGATGATTGGCTGCCCTATAGCGATCTGGCCTGGCGGATTTGGCCACTATGAAGCCACGCTTAAAAGCCCATGCATCTGAAATGGCCACCGGTGACCATTCATCATAGTCCTCGGGCAAGTGAATTTTTAAAATTTTCGGAAGATCCAAATGTTCGGCCATTAGCTGGATGGAACGATAGGGAACTTGCAACTGTGAAATGGGAAAACTACCCAAAAGAACTTGCAAGTATTTTGATGTTGACGAAGGGAATACCAAACCCGGACAATCACAAAGTCGTACTAAATTGGTTAGAAATATCGTTTGGAAATGTTTAGTATGACCTGGGGTGCGGCTGACACTGACAACTTTACGACCCTTGAGGGCATTAATTAGCGAAGATTTACCCACATTGGGAAAACCTACACAGCCTAGGGTCAGTATGCCTTTATAATATTTTTCACGTTTCCCTCCGTCACTTTCGTGGGGCATTGTACTTTCGGCTTCGTCCACTGTTTTCTCCACCACTGTTTCGTTTTCAGTTTCCAAAAATGCATTATCCGTTTCCATATCTTCAAGTATCTTTTGCTCCCAGCCGGTAAGATCAACCTCGGATTGTACAATTTTTTGGCATTCCTTAAAGATATTATGAACACCTTCTATGCCACGTTTGTAATTTAAACGGCGGCTTTGTTGGGTACCTAAAGGAAAGCATGTCACTTATTTTTAAGACAAGCCCGCTTCCATTTAACACTTACCCTTTTTAGATTGCTGGGGATTTGAGGCGAATATAACAACTGGCAAGCCGGGATAGGTTTCTCTGAAGTATGAGCGCCAGGCCACCACAACTTCAGGTGCCACCAAATCAACTTTATTTAGAATCAGAATGGCATGTTTGCCAATCTTGTTCACAATGTAGTCGTACAAGGAGGGTGGAAACATCAAGGTCTAAAAGTATACATTGTTATTTCAAAATATGTGGGATGAGTACCTCCCAAGCATTTTAACTTACCGAAAAACGAACATCGACAATGATCAATAGAATATCTGACAGTTCCAATACACGCCACAATTGGCGCCATGTTTCCAAATTCAATTCGAATAGAGACAACTCCTTGTTCTCTTCCTTTTGGCGTTTTTGCAATTGCTCGACATATTCCTTAAAAACAAAAGACACGTCCAATGAAAATCCCAAAGGATATTCTCTCTTCACCTACCCTGAAATATTTATTTTCATTACGATCCAAGGTGGCTTTATCCATATCATAATTCCATTCTGGTCTTATTGGAAAATCATAACCATCATAAAATCTTGCATCAATTTCCCGTTGCTTTGGAGTGGCTGGAGCATAGGGCTTTAATCCTTCCAATTTCAAACGCTCCATTTCCTTTTTGGATTCCTGGTAGAAACACAAATTATAACGATTTGCATTTCGATTACCACCACCACCGGATCCTTGGGAACGCATCATTAGTTTGCGTACGGTTAATTCATTGTCCTCTGTTGTTTCACCATCATCGCTGCGGGTACGCAAATATTTTTGCGAGCCTATAGATTTGAAGAAAGCACAACAACAAGTCAATTGTCTATTACGAGTGACTTCATTTGCGGCATTTCAATGCCTTCTCACCTTTTAATTGACGTTTTTGCAGCAATTGATCTTTCTTCTTTTTGCCACTGTATGGAACTTTGCGACGAGCTTGTGGCATCTTTTTTGCTGTTTTACCTTTTGAGACGGGTTAATTACTCGAAAATTGAAGAATTTTACAAAAATGTCTGGAATTCTCCTTTCGGAAGACACCCCAAATGTGAATGTGTACGAATGAGGACTAGGCAAAATGCGAAAATTATGTGTTTGACAAAGAAGTGGGAAAATGCAAAAAACAGCTGTTTAGTACTCTCCGGAGCCGCCCTATAGAAACAAAGGCGTAAGAATTGCATGTGATGTTGTTTGCTATTGCAATTTTCGAATTACGATATAGGAAAAATAGAAAAAATGATAAAAAAAAAAATTGGAAAATATATAAAAGTTAAAAAATAAATTAAAGTCAGAAAATAAATAAAATTAATAATATGGGTATGGAAAAGAATAAAAGTTCTTATCAACTAAGTATAGATTATAGACTATATATTTGATATTAATTTGTCTGTGAATTTTTCAAATGTCGCATTATTTCACCAGTAGGCGTTGGACGGCCAGGAAATCTGCGACGATATTCACGTCGTGCTAAAGTCACTTTATTGGTCAGATAAATAGTCACATATATCCCGTTTTCAGGAGCAGGGCCTCAATTCTTGTTCTATAAAAATGTGAAATGAAAACTTTTTATAAAGAGAAGTAATGTTAAATGAAAAATTTTATTAAGGAAATATTTTTCATTTCATATTTTCATAGAACAAGAATCCAGGCCCAGAACCTACACTAGGGGCCAATCGTATTTAGTAGAGCTCCCCTAACAAAAAGAAGTTATTTTGCGAATTTACGTGAAGTAGATCATACCATGGCACAATTCTTATTGAGCCATTTATCATACCAACTATGAAACTTATTTGAATGTGAATCATGATTTTAGAGAAGTCACATTTTGGGAATTATATCCAACACTAAATCGATATTCAACAAATTTGAGTACCAAATAAAAATGCTGTCATGGCACAATTACAGAAGGTAAAACATAGCTACTCCCCAAATACAATTTTTTTCTTTTAGTGCCCTTATTCTGCCAAAACATGTACACTTTTGTGTATACGTGTGTATTGTTTTGAATAAAAAATACAATTATTTGAAATTATTTCAAATTTGGTTGCAAAATAACTGCAAATTTTCCACGTAAATGGGTTACAAATTATTCAATTTTGGTTAAACTGTAGTACCCTACTATTTTAGATTCCATCTTGTGGAATAACCACGAAACGTCATTCTTGTTTCGCGGGTTTTTTTTCTCAAAATAAGAAATATGTTTAAAAAATTAACAAAGCTAACTGTTGCATATTTAAATGTCTATTTGACACTATAAGACTCCAACGCAGAGTTGCCTTTTTCCAGTTTCTTTGAAGTTGAGCGACCTTTCTTATTGAGCCATGGGTCGTACCAACTAGGCTCCAAATAAAATTGCTGTATAGTGCATGATATGACTTCGATAAAGATTTTATTAAAAAAATATTTATGGAAGTAATAGCATACACCGGACCGAGTGTCACCAAATAGAAAAATTCGATCGAATATGAAAAAATCTATCCAATATGGTCTGATATTACATATAACCGTAAGATCGGATGAAGTGGTATATCGTAGCTATATAAAAATCAGAACCGATCTCGATAAATTGGACAGAGGTATTTTCGAACAGTACATGATGCTCGGTATCAAATATCATCATATTACGCATGTGAGGGACTTTAAAACCAAATCGGATAAAACATATATGACTATAGCCGAACCGATTTTCACCAAATTTGATTTACGCGTGTGAGGGCTTTAAACTTCAAATCGGATAAACCATATATATGGGTGTTATAGCTATATCTGAACCGATTTACACCATATTTGAAGTACTGGTTTCTAGGATGAATTCAGTCGTAATTGCCAAAATTCAGTTTATTTGGGCTGATATTAGCCATTTGATCCACAATAAACCTGATATCGGATAAAGATATACATGGGAGCTATAACTCAATCTGAACCGAACTCGATAAAAAAATCATCTCTAGTCGTTTACTTTCTTAAAGAAAGTCCTTTGATAGTTTTTTTTAAGTAAGTTAAGTAATGTGGTCAATAAAGGTGAATGAGCTTTCAAGACTCATCAACAGTGTAGCCATTTTAGCATTTTTGCAGCTAAATTTAGCATTCATTTTTTGTATTTAGCTGCATTTAGCATTTTTCTTAGCTTTTTGAAATTATTAGTTTAGCATTTTTAGCATTTTTTTGTCCAAAAATTATCTTATATTTTATTACTTTCTTATAAATCCAATTTTTCTTAATCCTAAAAAATTAAAATGTCCATGTACATTTTGAACGAAATTACTATTTTAGAAAAGCAATGGCAAAAACTAAGTACATATGAATGGGCAAACATAAACTTAACGATTTTATTTTGGATATGTGTATAAGAATTTAAAAATGCTTTAAATGAAACTCCGTTCAAGGAATTGTCTTTTTATACCCTCCACCAAAAAAGGTATGGAGGGTATTAAGTTCGTAATTCCGTTTGTAACTCATCGAAATAATCATTTTAGACCCAACAAAGTATATATATTCTTGATCAGCGTAAAATTCTAAGACGATTTTGCCCTGTCCGTCCGTCTGTCCGTCTGTTGTAATCACGCTACAGTCTAAACGAATTAAGATAGGAAGCTAAAATTTTGCACAGATCTCTCTTTTGTCTACAGGCAGGTCAAGTTCGAAGATGGGCTATATCGGTCCACGATATTGTATAGCCCCCATATAACGGTACCCCCCGATATTCGGTATTTTGATGATTTTACCCACATTTTTCAACGGAATTGTCTGAAAATCCACACAAGGAGTTCCTTGTGGGTACTTTATACCTCGGCAGGGAATTATCAATATAGGTCCACGATATCGTATAGCCCCCATGTAACGGTACCCCCCGATATTCGGTATTTTGATGATTTTACCCACATTTTTTCAACGGAATTGTCTGAAAATCCACACAAGGAGTTCCTTGTGGGTACTTTATACCTCGGCAGAGAATTATTTATATAGGTCCACAATATCGTATAGCCCCCATGTAACGGTACCCCCCGAGATTCAGTATTTTGATGATTTTACACACATTTTTCAACGGAATTGTCTGAAAATCCACAAAAGGAGTCCCTTGTGGGCATTTTACCTCCTCAAAATGAAGTGTCTATATAGGTCCACGATATCGTATATCCCCCTTATAACTGTAACCTCCGATATTCGGTATTTTGATGATGTTAGCCACGCTTTTCAATGGAATTGTCTGAAAATCCACACAAGTAGTTCCTTGTGAGTACTTCACCCCCTGAGAGAGAATTGTTTATACAGGTCCACGATATCGTATATCCCCCATATAACGGTACCTCCCGATATTCGGTATTTTATGATTTGACCCACATTTTTCATCGGAATTGTCTGAAAATCCACACAAGGAGTTCCTTGTGGGTACTTTATACCTCGGCAGAGAATTATCTATATAGATCCACGATATTGTATAGCCCTCATATAACGGTACCCCCGATATTCGGTATTTTGATGTTTTTAGCCATATTTTTCAACGGAAGGGGGGTTCTTTGTACACAAGGGGTTCTTTGTGAGCACTTTACCCACCGACAGAGAATTCTCTATATAGGTTAACGATAACGTATAGCTCCCACATAACGATACCCCGCGATATTCGGTATTTTGATGATTTTAGCCACATTTTCCAATCGCGTTGTCTGAAAATCCACGCACGGAGTTCCTTGTGAGTACTTTACACGCAGACATAGATTTGTCTTTATAGGTCCACAATATCGTATATCCCCCCATATATCGGCACCTTCCTATATTAGATATTTTAAAGATTTTAAAAGAATTTTTATTGGATTTTATTTTTTTTGAAAATTTTCTAATTCGTTCCAAATGGTGGAGGGTATTCAAAGTTCGGCCCGGCCGAACTTACTGCTTTTTTACTTGTTTTGTTATAAAGTGTCTAGTTTTACCATTTAGAAGAAGTTAATGAAGTTGGAAGAGTTTTAAGAGGCATGAACCTTATAGAAGTAGAAATTAGAAATAGAATGATATTATAAACTATGAATTAACTTCTTTACATTAGATGCGGATTGAAAAGGTTAAATAAAGGTTGTGAAAGTTTTAAGATTACAAACGATCCCATTGTAATCACCATTCGGTGTATAATTTTCAGTAGTAGGACTTAATACATTTTAATAAAATCATATTAAATTTAAAAACAGATGTTGGACCTTATTGGTCCTCCTTCCGAATAACCTTCATGTATCTGGAAACTTTTTTATACCTTTCACCACACTATGGAGGGTATATTCATTTTGTTATTCCGTTTGTAAGTCATCGAAATAATGATCTTAGACCCAACCAAGTATATATATTCTTGATCAGCGTAAAATTCTAAGACGATTTAGCCATGTCCGTCTGTCTGTTGTAATCACGCTATCTTTCGAACGAATTGAGATAGAAGAATAAAATTTTGCACACATGTTTATTTTGCCAGTAGGCAGGTTAAGTTCGTAAATGGTAGGTCCACGTTTTCATATAGCCCCCATATAACGGTACCTCCTTATATTCGATATTTTGATGATTTTAGCGACATTAATCACTGGAATTGTTTCAAATTTGGCATTTGAAGTTCGAAATGGCTACTACAGCCTGAGACAGAAAATTGTCTGTGTAAGTCCACGTATTCGTATAGCCCCCATATAACGGTACCTCCCTATATTCGGTATTTTGATGATTTTAGCGTCATTGTTCACCGTAGTAGTTTAAAATTACGTATTTAGAGTTCGTAATGGAAACTACAGCCTGTGACAGAAAATTGCCTATGCAGGTCCAGGTCTTCGTATAGGCCCCATATATCAGTACTTCCTAATATTCGGTATTTTGACGATTTTGGGTACAATACTCACCGAAATTGTTTGAGATGTCGTATTTGATGTTCGTAATGGAAGCTACAGCCTATGACGGAAAATTGTTTATGCAGGTCCATGTCTTCGTATAGCTGATATATAACGGTACCTCCCTATGTACGGTATTTTGATGATTTTTTCTACATTATTCACCGTTTATTTCAAGTTTCGAATTTGAATATGGTAATGGCTTGCGACAAACAATACCTATGTAGGTGCACGTCGTACAGGCCCTGATATAACGGCTATATTCGGTATTTTTAAAATGTTAACAGAATTTTTGGCGAATGTTATCCTTTTCGA